GGGGCCTCGAGGGCCCCTTCCACGACGCCCGTGAACTTCGCCAGGCACCCGCCGAAGCTCGCGGCGTGGGTCAGCCGCCGCGACGACGCGCCCGCGGCCGGCGGGAGGGCGTTCACCTCCTGCACAATCGCGTTCAGCCGGCCCCGAAGCCCCGCGGCCTCGGACGGCGAAAGAAAGGACGACATCGCGCGTCAAAAACCACACGCCGGGGTCGGCGGCGGGGTCGTCCTGCGTGTGGTCGGTTGCTGCCGAAGCCCTTTTGGAGGTTGGTGCGATGCGGCCCTACCTTTTCCCCCCCCCCCGCGTTCCGCAGCGCTCTGTGTGGAAAAGAAATCTGAAAGGCGGCGCTGTTCGCTCTATATCGCCCGCCTTCTATGGAAATATGAGTATCGTGGTCTGTATAAAAAAAAGTGTTTTATTCTAGATTCGCTATGACACCTGCACAGCGCATCCTCAATGCACCTGAACCCAAAAGGCGTTTGGAAATAAAAAATGTCATGGCCACACCGCTTTGCCGCCAGATATGGAATTTATAGCAATGAACCACATTCATTTAATCTGGGGATGGTTAAGCTACATAGAATGTTTTATGCTTGATTATATAAATATTAATATAATTTATGGGAAATGGAATAAAAGAAAGGACATTAACGCTATAAATGGTGTCTTTGCAAGTAACAGATTTTTGATATAACAAACAGAGGGTCAAACCCTGAACACCATATAAAAAATACACAAATCAACAGCAATCCCTCCACTCCCCTTCTTCCTCTCCCCTAGGATGAAGGTGATGGGGATTACGCGGCGATCTCCTCCGTTCCCAGGGCTCTCTTACGGCAAACGGGGCATGAGAAATAATCCAGCTGGAGAGGAGCCTCAACAAGAGGCCCCTGTGGGGTCGTCGTCGGGGTATTCTCGGCATATTTCGGGGCCCGGACGCCTCCCCGGCAGTGGAGTTTATACGCCGCCGCGCAGGCCCCGCAAAGTGGACGATGCCAACAGGGCAATAACACCACCGTCGCCGCGTTTTTCCGGCATAAAAGACAATTCTCGGGCCCACCCTCTCCTCCGTCCCGCGCACGCGGCGGCGAAGAGGGATCGCCGACCTCGAAAAGCTCATCCCACCACGATTTCCTCGACGCCGTGGGCGAGGCCGGCGGGGAGTTGAGAGAAGCCTTGCCCAAGAACTCTTCTAGGGCCTTGGTGAAAAGGCCCTGGAGAAAAACCAACATCTCGTAAAGGGAAAAAGCCCCGTCGGGAAACGAAGCGCAAGCCGACGCAATAATCTCCGGCCGAACTAACCCTGTTCGTTTATCCTGAATAAACGTCTTAAAACAGGCGTAATTTAACGCCGACGTTGAGGAGGAAGAGAACTCCGCGGGGGCGGAAAAAGGGTCGGGATGGGCCGACCGAGGGCCCTCGGCGACGTCGAGGAGGTAAACCCGCGGCTGCGTGGGATTGGCCCCGGGGGAAAGGCACGAAGGCGGGCGTTCCGCCGTCGAGCCGTGCAGCGATAAGGGCCTTTCCTTGTGCGGGTCTAAAAAGACAAGTTTAACAGGGATCATTAACATCAACTCCGCCTCTATAACGTCCGAAGACGCGGCATTCCAAGTCGTGGTGGATCCACTGGAGGAGTTCCCACACGGGTTCATCCCCGCAGAGGAGGAGGCGGGGGCCATCTCGAGATAAGAGCTTGCATTATAGAAGTGATCCCGCACACGAGCAAGGGAGGAGGAGGCCTCTCCGCTTTTTTTTATTTCTCGCAAAATGGGAATATAACCCGTCGCGACATGCTGCCCGATATCATACTTAAACAGGGAATCGCCAAATCGCGAGAAATCCTGCAGGATGCGGTAGGCGAGATGCCATTCCGGCGTTCGCTTCTCCAGGACATCGCGGAAATACACCGGTGAGGATTGTGAGCAATGATAGCGAAAGCGATCCGCAGCGGAGCCGATTAAACCTACCGCGGAGGAAAAGGGAAATGCATACGGGCTCGAAGCCACCACCATCGGTGGAACCCGCTCGAAGTTTTGAATCAACGCCACTCGAACAAAATCGGTTAGATTGCGACAAACCAAAAGATCTTGTGCGCTTGGGATAATCGCGCCGCTAAGAGGGTCGATATAAAGCGCCTTTCTCGAGATCGCGTAGGCGCTAAGATTCTGCAAATCAATTAACGCGCGATAGCGCTTCAACTGCTGTGAAGAAGAAGAAGAAGGAAGGGGCATCGCGGTGTGATCGACAAAAAGAATCACAGGCGTGTAGTAAATGACATTTTCAAAGTTATAGGGAAGGAGGCCGCGGATCTCGTAGTGATGGCGGCATTGAGTAAAGGTGAATCCACTTCTGTAAGCTTCACGAAACCCTTGTAAATCGTCGTCCGGAAGCCTTTCCAGACCCGTTAAATCACGATGGAAGTAGGGCCTTTTGATGGACGTCAGTGTCCCCCCCTCCAGATACAAATATGAAGAAGAAGAAAGAGGGGGGTGTGAGACGTGCGAATGACTCGTGTCGTGGGCGCTCCCGTCGCCTGTTATGGAAGTTAAACTGTGGGGTCCCACTAACGGGGGGGAGGAAGCCTCAATCGTGAAAGGAGACCACAGGTTCAGCTGGTGGTGAACCCGCGTTTGCCTGAGCACATTCGACGTTGACACGCTGGTGCTTCCCGGCAAAAATAAATTCTCCCCACAAACCCCAAGCGATGGAGCCGGCGAAGAATTAAATGAATACGACGGGGAGGTGGAAGGCGCCGCGAGGGCGAGATGCTCGCGGAGGAAGGCCGCGCATCGCTGACCGGTCGCCGTCGTCGCGCGCTCAGCGATGTCAAGCGGGGTCTCGCCGAGGGCATTCGCCCGGATCACGGCCCCGCGGGCCTCGACGAGGTACCGCAGCAGCTCCTCCTCCCCATTCCGCGCGCAGAGATGGAGAGGGGTCTGGGCGGCCCCCCCGCTCGGGGCCCCGACGTCCGCCCCGAACTCCTCGCAGAGCATCCGCACCATCGCAAGGTGCCCGTCCGCGCGGTGGCTGAGAGCGGTGTAGAGCAACGTAAAGC